GGTGCATGGGCATCTATCTGACAGTTTTCGGACAAAAATCACTCATCACCATAGTTTAAAGACATGATTTTCCAAAATATTTTTCGAGAAAAAAGTTCTAGTTCTTTTTTTACATTCTGATTTTTTTTAGCAATTTGGGAGTACCACTTTACTCACAAATTTGAATAACAACAAAAAGTGATGATTTGCGAATTTGATTTAGAAATGTTAGTCAAAAGTCCATGAGAATTTCCGAAAAAGTTGAAAATTGTCTGAAGGTTTGGAAAATTATGTTTCCAAACTGTTTGTATTTGGAATTGTTTTCTCAGTTATCGCACTCCTATATAATAATATTGCAAAACATAAATAACTTTCTTCTTAAATTGTGTCACTAAACTTGTGTTACTTTGGTTTTCCAGGGATGTTTTCCTTGGCAGATTATCTGTTGGCCATTCAGTCTCAGAATGCCAGACAAATCGATGCCATGCAACTGGCAAGGCCTTTACAAGTAAGTTCAAACCAAGGCTGTCTGAATTCTCCTCCTTCGTCTTTCTATGCCTGATTCAGATTCGCTCTATTTTTAAAAATCATATACATTGTCCTGTTTTTCTTTTCTTCCAACAGTATCATCAAATGATAGGGCAGGCGAACATTGCCCCTTTCAATGGGCTCATGAACCCCCTTCTTCCCGTAAGTAGACTCATCTTACCCTACTGTTACGTTACTCTATAAAGTTAAAAGTGGCATGAAGATCAATTCTGTTGCTCGACTTAGTTACTTTGTTTGCTCTGTGCCACCACAGTATGCAGTACAGCAGATTATAACATGTAATACCAGTTGGTTCAAACTAGTGGTCCACTTTAGCATCATGCGTACTTGTTGAATTCCTATGAAAACGAAATGAGAATGGATTGGTGAAGAGTGGAGCCCAAATACATTACTGAATTTGACTTGTTGTTCCAGGTAAATAATATATCTGGCCAACCAGGACTTGGATTCATGGGCATGGGCATGGGCATGGGCGTGGGCGTGCTGGCGCTGCAGGCCCAGCAGGCCCAGCAGGTGACCCAAACTCTGCAAGCCGCTGACCTCCGTCTGCAGCAGGAAGCAGCAGAGCGCGATCGTGCACTTGCCCAGGAAGAGGCTGAACACGCCCGTCTGCAGCAGGAAGCAGCAGAGCGTGCACTTGCCCAGGAACAAGCTGAACAGGCACGTCTGCAGCAGGAAGCAGCAGAGCGGGAACGTGCTCGCGCCCAGGAA